CAGTCGAGTCGATTCGAGTCAAGTTGGATCAGTTGAACCAAGTCTATTCGAGTTGGATCAGTCGAGTCGATTCGAGTCAAGTTGGATCAGTTGAACCAAGTCTATTCGAGTTGGATCAGTCGAGTCGAGTCGAGTGCGTCCAACCGAGTGGGATCAGTTGAGTCGAATCGACGCCTGGCCGACTAGAACGGGGCTCGAGAGCCGGCCCTGTTGCTGTCAGGGCAGGCTAAGAAGCGGCGATGTTGGGCAGCATCTCAATCCGGCTGCAGTTGCGTGTGTTTGGCGGCTTTGTGGTCACAGCCACGGCAGCAGAGAGCTCGTGTCGCCGGAAGGTGGATGGACCAAGTGCCGACGAGCAGCTCGAGTTGGCAAGGCAGAGTTGATTCTGCTTTTATCGCGGATGCACCGACACGAGATACAAGACGAACTACACAGTTTAGGCGAAAGCGATAGGCAACCGGCGACATGTGGCATGTGACATGCGACATGTGACATGTGACAGGAGGAAAGTGACGCCGGGAGGCTTGTCAAGCGCCAGCCGCAGTTGCCGCGTCCAGCGGGTCAACTGCAAAGGTCCATATGTGGTTCTCGGAGCCTGGCAACGGGCGAGGCAGCCAGAAAGGGAGAAGGGGAGAACGAGCAGAGTTGAGCAGAGACGGCAAGAGAAAGAAAGACCAAATGAGAGGGAGAGAAAAAGAAAGAGATGAAGAAGAAGAAGAGATGGAGAGCTAAAAAGAGAGGAAAAGGGAGAAAAAGCGGGAGAGAAATTGAAAAAGAAAGAGACAGAAAGTAGACGCCCAGCGAGAAAGAAAGAGAAAGATAGAGAGAGAGAGAGAGAGAGAGGAGTGAATGTATGCGAAATGTACATACAGAAGAGGTTGAAGAGGATGGAAAAGAGTGGGGGACATGTGAGAGGAATGGCGTAACAAGTGATGAGAAGAGGTGGAGTACAAACGAACAAGCAGGTTACTGCCAACGCAGAGTAGGACCGACTTGCGGGTTGTGGAAAACGAGTCGAATGACTTGTAGAAAGTGAGACAAACAGACATTTATGGCGTGACGTGTGGGCTGGAGGGAGGGATGCAACTCGTCTAATTTTGTGAAAGCGAAGGAGTGTGTCGAGTTGTGCGATTTGTGTGAGTTATTCGAGGTAAGCGATTTGTGTGAGTCATAAGATTTGTGTAAGTATCGCGATTTCTGAGTTGTTTGCATTATTCCATTTGTGTGAATTAGGCGATTTATGTGATTTGTTTAAATCGTCTGATTTCTGGGAGTATTGCGATTTGTGTGAGTTGTTCCATCTGAGCAATTTTTGGT